CTGTTTAGAATCAGTATGCCCCCCCCCCAACCCCACCTACAACCTACTTCAAAATGTAATGTTTAATTATGTTACTTGTCATTTCCTTCATTTCCATAATTAAATGTGAAATTTACTAGCACATTTCTGAGTGAAAATTGTTTCTCCACCAAGTGTAGTAAATCACAGTTCTTGGCTGCGATGTAATCAAAACCAATCGAGATGTCCTGCCAAAACATGATTTTATGGGGTCTTTAAACGTTATGCAAGTGAGAAAGTCACCAGATTTTAAAAATGTCCCAGCTGTGAATAATTGTGAAAAAAACCTCAATTCACATTCACCTGCGTTGACATTTAAATAAACGCGTATGATAGGCACAATAACAACACCGGCTTTATTACGACAATATACAGTTTCATTCGCCATAAGGCACTGTGGGTAATGAGAAACTGGAAATGAGTTTCCAGTCCTCTAACCACAGTGAACGGTGGCACACTGTGAATGTGTGTGTGTTTTAGTGGGTGTTGGCTAGAGTGCACTCTCTCCAGCACCAGGAGTGATTTATCGCCACTGATGGCTGCTATGAGATCTCATTATACTCGTCATTTGTGTGAGCCTGGAGAGCAGGCAGACTCTACACCTCTCAGCAGCCACTGAGAAATACAGCCAGGCTGTGAGGAATGTGCACAGAAAACATTTTCGGGGCCGAGTGTTCCTCTTTATCAGAGGAACAGTTTATTCCAGTTGAATCTCTGTGTTACGGTTTTATTTGATGTATAATTTAGTGTCAAACGTAATCATATGCATCATCTGTCAACATGCAATCCAACATGCAAACATCATGCTACAAGCGACAATCATAATGTATATTCTCAATATTCACAGAACGCATTTCTTCATTTTATCTGTGCTATTTCTTTTTTTTTTTTAAGTACTAATATATAATGCAAAATATTAATAAATACTATAATAGATTTAAGTAAATACTAGTAATAAAACTACTGACTATTACTACTATGACTACTACTGACTTACAGTATTATGCATATGAAGTAATATATTATTTTAAATATATATTTAGGTTGCACCACATGACTTTTTTTTAGGGACAAAGAACAAAGTGGGAAATTCTAGGATGATATATTACTAAAATCCCTAAAAAAAAATAAAAATAAAAGACCTGATTGGTTGACAGAAATGTCCATCCAGAACCAAGTATGTTCAGGGGCCTGTGAATGTTTATGTTGCGAGGGATTGGTCTTACCATGCATGGCGTCTGTCCCCTTCACAACAACGGCGACAGACAATCAGAAGGACAGAGAGCAGGACCAGTGTCCCCCCGACAAAGATGGACAAGAGGACCAGCAGGAGGACATAGCCATTCTGTGTCCCTGATGACAGCGGGACGTCCTGGGTAAACACCAGAGAAAGAAACAAACCAGTCACAATGGAAATTCCTTCTCCGAGTAAAACCGCATGACTTCAATTTTCACACTATATAGGTTTCTCCAATTCCATTGTCCAACTTTTTCAGGTCTTAAACCCAAAAAAAACTTAACTGGTAACTTAACTTAACTTAACTTAACTTAACTTAACTTAACTTAACTGTTACCATTTTACCAACATAGACATAAACCGCAGACATTTTTTGCATAAAAGCCCTTTGTTCAAGATTGGTCCCTATGGTAATATTACATAAAGCCCAGTTTCTGGAGAAGAGGACCTTCAGGTGTGTGGGCTTTTGTGTCTGAGTTGAGATGTTAAGTACAGTGTTCACCACGCCACAGATGAGTTTAGAAAGATCTAGAGGCGGAGACTTTCAGAGACAAGAATGGAAGAGACAGAAGGTTCTTTCCTCAAAGACATCAAAGCACAAAGGCATACAACACCTCTCGCCCTGCCACCTGCTTAACTGTCATCTTCGTTCATGTCCCCAAAGAGATGTTCAATGGTAAGAATGCTAAATAAGAACAAGGCCTGAATGAGCCTTTGGGCCATAGATGAAGCACCTTACAATTACTCTTACATTATACAGTGTTTCAATTGGTGGAGCAGAACATCCTAATTACCAGCTATTGTTCAGGTGAAGATCTAGAAAGAGTTTATTCAGATCAGGTCTATTACTTTGTTAATGAAAGAGTTTTGAAGACTGATTTATCTTCATGAAACTAGAAAGCTACGTATCAGAGAGTCTGCCATTAACCTAGCTTGGCAAGAGCGAAGGAAGGAAAAACTGGGACCTCTTTCATGGACAGCAGCATCATCATGGAGGTCTCAAGAAGTAGTCAGGCTAACTTGTTTTCATAAAAATGGATAAAACAATATTTTTTAACACTTTTAAAAGTTTACATTCTGAACTTTTTATTCTGTAGTTCTTCAGAAAATCATTGCTGTTTTTGGTGCTTTAAGGAACCCAGAACTAAGATACTGATCTCCAGAATCTGTAATGCAACATCAAGAACATTTTAATCTCCAAAAAAACATACGAAATCCATACAAATCCTGTCTAAATATTTATTTAGGAAATCTAAAAATGTGTAATATCTAAATTAACTGCTTTTTTGTTAAAGTCAAAAACATAATTTAAAAAGACTGAATCAATCTACATTGGGTCACAAAAAAAGTTTATTTAAAATAAACATGTAACGCAGGTGAATGTGAATGAGATTTTTTTCATTTCGCAGGTGAAATCCAGTCATTTTCATATTTCACATGATCTGGAGTAAATGTGACTGTACCATCATTGAGGACATCAAGAATTTGTTTAATAACCAAATGATGCCCCTTCTTTAAAGAAATAGCTTAATGATACCTAATGACTGCCTAATGATGCACTAAATCATTGTGATATATCATCGTGTAATATATAGTATTACTATATATATATATATATATATATATATATACAGTGGGTACGGAAAGTATTCAGACCCCCTTCAATTTTTCAC